GTGAATCTTGTGAAGTGAAGTGAATTGAATTTATGAAGTGAATCTAATTTTATACAGGCCAAGCATGGTAGTGATAGCAATTTGAAGATCATTGGATTTGAACATGTGTCATTAAACATCAGAGGTGGAGATAGACTTAGACGGTTAAAACAACGAGAAACGTACTGGATACATAAATTGGATGCTCTCTCATATCCTGGTCTTAATGAAGATATAGATTTTTCTCCATTTTTGTAATAGTTAGATTTGTTTGTAGGTGCTTTTTATTGGTATTTGTTCAATGGAATTTTTTTTTTTCCCACTGTCATGTCTTTTGAGATTTAGAGATATGATTCTTGGGTTGAATGTTTTCTTTTTTTTCCCCTTTGGGATGGTTTGATATTTGTAAATACCCAAGAGACATCTAGTGATTAGATCCTGAAAATGTATAGTCACAGATGTATTTATTCAGAGGAAGTTTTTAAACTCCTAAGAGACATCTAGTGGTTAGATCTTGAAAATGTATAGTCACAGCCTGGTGTATCTATTTAACTAGTTCTCATTCTCTATTGTCTAACTCCCTGAGGAAGGCCTGTTTGGGCTGATACGCGTTGGTGTTTTTTTAACATGTAGCCCTGCTATGTGAGTGCCTGGATGTGGATTTATTTTTGTTTCTTGCAATGGGATCCACTTTTTGTTTTTGAATCTAATTTATCTGGATGACAAATTAGCAGCCACAACGATTTGAAATACATCAAAGCAAAACCAAACATTTAAGTTTCCAAGGCATAAAAGAGATGTACAATTAACAGTGGCAATGCAGCACTGACCCAAAAGGACAACTTTTCTGTCAGGTCTGAAATGCTCACACACTGGCCCTGGGCCAGCAGGCCATCTTTACTGTTGAGTCACGCTGTAACACTTGAGACTCTGAATACAGAAAAGTTTCAGAGAATTACGTTATAAATTATTTTACCAACTTGACAATCTGGAGATGAACAGCTGCTAGTTGTTGTTGTTGTTTTTTTCTGAAGAGATTTAGAAAAATATAGCATTACATCACTTGCTCACCAATGGATCCTCTGCAGTGAATGGGTGCCGTCATAATGAGAGTTCAAATAACTGATTAAAATGACTTCATAGCCAATCAACTGTCTTGTGAAGCAAAAAGCTGTATGTTTGTAAGAAACAAATCCATCATAATCCAATAAATCATTAACTTCAAAATAGGACTGTTGATTTAACATGTTAATGTGGCACAATTATTAAATGCATTAAAATTACCACCATATTTAACGCACCCTGTACCTGTCCTGTACAACATCTTACATTGCATGCAGTTGTTACCAAATATGATACAGGACAATGACTCATTGTGTGATGTAGCCTATTAGAATTCAGTTATACGCAATGAAAATTCAAGATATGAGAGCAAATAATCCATTGGTGAGCAAGTGATGTAAGACTAAATTTCTCGTAATTTGTTCAGAAAACAACATCATGGATAGCTTGATGGTAAGTAAATCTTCAGCAAATTTTAATTTTTGGGTGAACTATTTCTTTAAACATTATTTTACAAATACACAACAGTTGCCAATGTACAAAAACTGTACACAACTGTAAAATTCATATTTTGGCTATCATGCTCGTGACTAGTACTAGGCTATGAACCTCATCTTCACTAAAACATGACTGCAATTAGCCCATCATATCACTCACACACCATCTCTGTGACCTTTGAGGGAGTGGCCCCTGTAGGGAATGAGATGTTTTGATCCCTCCTTCCCATAATCCTTACGGAGCGTTCTGCAGTGGGTAAAGGTCATCAATATAGAATAGAAACACGTTCAGTCACTCCTGCTCCATTTCTTAGTCCATCAATGAATAGAGCTGACCTATCTAGTCAATATCTTTAATAGTGCATGTGCATCACAAGCAGAACACAGTCATTTTCTAGGCAAGGCAGTGAATGTCTGACATGAAACAGGTGAATCTGACAACAGCCTGTTCTTTGATGAGTGAACAATTGTATTTTGCATTCATATATGATGAGAGGTAAACAGACAAAGCCTCTGTGGCAATGGCCAATCAGACGCACTCTACAAATACTAGCTAAATCAACCTGTTTGACCACTCAACACACTAATATGGATTCAAAGGTTATTTAGTCAAATAAGTCAGTCTCTTTAAAAAAAAAAAACATGTTTGCAGCACTGAAAAAAAGTTATATTACAGTTCTAATAGGGATGCACAGTTATCATTTATAATCATCAAGTATTTCTATTGATTCTGTAATTTACGTTTTTTAATTTGATAATGAAATAAAACTACTGTTTTATGTCACATAGAAAACTGACTCAAAATGATTACTTAATCACAGTAGCCATTATTTCCAATATTTTCTATTAATTGTGCAGCCCTAGACACTTGTTATAAGGTGTGTGTGTGTGTGTTTTTAACTTTAAAGGAGAAAGAAGAAAAAGCAAGTCAGACCAATGGACAAATGCAAGGCACATGATTGCACACACCCACGTTTTCACTCCATCACACATGCTCCACAAAAACAAGCTCTTCAGACACACAGCCAACTGACATAAAACTGTAAGCCCTCGGTGAAACGGACAGATTTCTGCGCTGATCTCTCCTCATTTAATTTTAGGTCTGCCAGCGCCAACACCACAATTCTCAGGCAAGCTTCAGGGTGACAAAACATTGGATACGTCTCTGCATCTGTTTGTTTTCTTGTTTGTGAAGGTCTCTGTGTCTCCTACAGCAACTGAGGGTGATTCAGTAAATACTGGAAAAACATATTTATAATACAATTGAATCCACAGTATTTGCATAATGTTTACTAGCAGATAGCAGAAAATATTGCAGATCTGTACTTCGTAAAGAGTACAAGTCATCATCCTAAACAAGCACAGACAAGTCAAGATGTACTATCTAAAATGTTACAATCTTACTGAAGTTGCACAGAGCCATGATGCATAAGCAAAACTGGTTGTTTTAAACTGCATACTACCATACTACATTTACTATCTGTGCAATTTGCAGCACATGTACTGTGCATATTTGTAACGTGTAATGTGCAGCATATACACTACCTAAATTTATTTTAATTTGCAATAATTAGGGATGCTCCGATCAGGATTAGTACCGATTTCTTGTCGTGGTGATCGGCCGATACCGATGCCGATTCTGATGCTTCAAGCTTTATATAGACAGTTTCATCGGACGCACGCACCTGGCCCGAAGTTAACTTCCGGTCTGTTTGTTTATCAGTCTGGCTATGGCGCCGGCTACAAACGCAGTTAAAGTTAAGGTGATGAGTAGACTGAAGTTGGGCTCAGGTGGTTGTGCTGTGGGATGTGTTTCCCATACATTTATTTATGGCGCTCGCCACAATATCAAAACTGACCGATATTCCAAAAGGCTTCATTGAATAAACATATGCCTGATAAAGCAGCGTTTGTGAGCTCAGCGCTGCTTTGTGTACAGCCGTTAACGGGGAAACCTCTGTTTCTCCTGCTTTAAAGCACCTGCTGGCAGAGAATGAATTTGCATTTTCAGTAAGTCCGTCTGATTTACGCAGCCAACATATATTGCTTTTCCTATATCCATGGGCACTGCGGATAATCCGCGGGTTGGGTAATAAAAAACGCATTCTGATTATTTGCGGTGGGTCGCGAGTGGATAAAATAAATCATAAATGATGCAAATATTAACTAGGCCTACATTTTTTTTTAAATACATTTTTTAATGAGGCAGACGATTTCGTGTGTGTGTTCGTTCGCCTGATCGGGAAGTTGCAGTGACAGAAACGGTGACATTCCAGATAAAGTTTGAAAGGAGTAAAGCCTGTGTTAATGCTATTGAGTAGGCTAATATGGCCAAAGATGATAATTTGTTTTATAAATAAATGTTCATTTAAAAGCAGCCCACGATCAGCGT